TTTTGGTTTTTCGAGACAGGGTTTCTCTGCGCAGCTTTGTGCCTTTCCTGGAGCTCACTTGGTAGTCCAGGCTGGCCTCGAACTCACAGAGATCCGCCTGTCTCTGCCTCCCGAGTGCTGGGATTAAAGGCGTGCGCCACCACCGCCCGGCTTGAAAACTATCTTTTAATGTCTTTCAAACTTATACAAACTTATACACTGGTTAGTGAGTTTCTTTTCTGAATTTGTTAACAAGGAAAACTATATAAATATCTAGTCTTCAACTCCCTCAGAGACCCAAAAAGGAAATATTACCTAAGAAAGCAGGACGTGCACACAATCAACTTACAAAAAATATGAGAAATGACAGAAACAGCTGGCTGCCTGGACAGTCACCCAAGGTTCCTCTGCAAGGTTCTGACAGACTCATCTGTGAAGCAGGATTTTCTGAAGGGCTGTCCTACCTGGTCTTGGCAGAGTTTGGCAGTCCTTTCTTTTGTGCCCTACTTGCCCATTTGGACAGCAGACTGTCAGCAGTCGAGGCAAGGGCATTTTCTTGCCCAGTGGCTAACTTGCCACAAAGAAAGTAAACTCCATAAGGAGTTTCTTCGATGCCCATCCATCTTCTCTGAAGTAGATTGATTGGTGCTGCCAGGTATAGACATGTCTCATGGTCATTAAAAAAAAAGTATTTATGTTATTAAAACATCTTAAATGCCAATTCTATAGATCTCTGAAGTGTTTGAAGATGGCCTGTTTATCTAACACATATCTCTGTTTGACCTTGGAAACATACCTAACCTGACAAGATCCATTGTAATAGGTGACTAACTACTAACCTGCATTTCTTTATATCCTAAATAGTTGATAATAATAACTTTCAAGGACTAGCAATTTGCATTACATTGTTAAATGAGCTGTATAGGGTACAATACCTTGAACAAGAGTAGAAACATATGTACAATATGTTCTAACAAAATTAATCTCAAATTTGTATCAATATACAAAATTTGTATACAGTATACAAAAATCCAATCCAATGTAAAATATTTAAAACTAGTAGTTGGCGCTGGGTGGCGGTGGTGCACGCCTTTAATCCCAGCACTCGGGAGGTAGAACCAGGCAGATCTCTGTAATTCAAGGCCAGCCTTGAAACCCTGTCTGGAAAAACAAAAAAACTAGTAGTTGCTTTTTAAAAGTAGATTCAATAATCTACTTTTTTTTCTTATCACATCCGTATTTTCCTTTTTTCAGAGTAGATTCAATAATCTACCCTTTTACCTTTTATCCTATCATTTCTTGTGTGTGTGCGCTTTTGTTCAAGACAGGAATTCTCTGTGTAGTTTTGGAGTCTGTCCTGAAACTCGCTCTGTAGACCAGGTTGACTGGAACTCACAGAGATCCATCTGGCTCTGCCTCCTGAGTGCCAGGATCAAAGGCGCGCGCCACCACCGCCCGGCCTCCTACCATTTCTGTATCTTTTTTTTTTTTTCAGAGTAGATTCAGTAATCTACCTTTTTATCTTATCATTTCTATATAATACATTTCTTTATCAACTTCAGTCTGAGGATTTGTGGAGTTGGTGAAGTGAGACGTGGCAGTGGCTTGTTCCTTTGTCTCTCTGATCCTTCAGCTTTTACCCCAATATCTGGCTTCCGGGTTTTTAATAGTAAGACCATTCAGCAGTTCATGATACAATCCCATGTTCCCTTCCAGGACCTCTTCTCAGCACTAATCAAGGGCCCCACTCGGACTCCCTATGAAGATGGCCTCTACCTGTTTGACATCCAGCTTCCCAACATCTACCCAGCGGTGCCCCCCCACTTCTGCTACCTCTCCCAGTGCAGTGGCCGCCTGAACCCCAACCTCTATGACAATGGGAAGGTGTGCGTCAGCCTCCTGGGTACCTGGATTGGAAAGGTGAGGATGGGCCCCAGTGGAGACGGTGGCACAGTGGGGCTGGTGTCCATCTGGGACAGACCTGAAGGTTCAGTTTGTGTTTCAGGGGACAGAGAGGTGGACGAGCAAATCCAGTCTTCTCCAGGTGCTCATTTCCATCCAAGGTACGATGATGGGCTGGCAGGCACACTGACAGGCTATTCCCAAGCCCGCCTTCGTGACTTACTAAGGACTTTCTCTGGCAGGTCTGATCCTGGTAAATGAGCCATACTACAACGAAGCTGGCTTTGATAGTGACCGGGGCCTGCAGGAAGGCTACGAGAACAGTCGCTGCTACAATGAGATGGCGTTGATCCGGGTGGTACAGTCCATGACCCAGTTGGTGCGACGGCCTCCTGAGGTCTTCGAGCAGGAGATCCGGCAGCACTTCAGTGTGGGTGGCTGGCGTCTGGTGAGCCGCATTGAGTCCTGGTTGGACACCCACGCCATGCTAGAGAGGGCCCAGGCACTGCCCAACGGAGTCCCTAAAGACAGCAGCTCTCTGGAGCCCCTGGCTGCAGCTGAACTCTCCGACTCCGGCCGAGAAGAGCCCGAGGATGTAGGGATGGCCCCCGGGGAGGCCTCCCAGGGCTCAGACTCCGAGAGTGGTGCCCAGGGCCCGGCCTCAGCCAGCAGGGACCACACAGAGCAGACTGAGACAGCCCCTGATGCGGCAGCACCGCCCAGCGTTAGACCAAAGAGGAGGAGGAAGAGCTACCGCAGCTTCCTGCCTGAGAAGAGCGGCTACCCTGACATCGGCTTCCCCCTCTTCCCGCTTTCCAAGGGCTTCATCAAGAGCATCCGAGGGGTCCTCACACAGTTCCGTGCTGCCCTGCTCGAGGCAGGCATGCCCGAGAGCACAGAGGACAAGTAGCGGCCAGGGCTTGCGAAAGGAGTGTCATGGTGGGAGAGGCCAGCCGCTGCCTCCTCCCTCCCTCCCTCCCTCCCTCCCTGAGATTTTGCCCCTCTCCTGCCCCTTCCTCTCCCCAGTTGGAGCCTTCCACGGCCCTCTCCTCCCTGCGGCAAGTTTGATGAAGTGCAAGAAGTGTCCCGAGATGCTGCGTTCTATCCCTCAGTGATGTTTCAAAGGCAGGTCCCTGAGGCACTGGGAACTCCACTGATGTCCCTTCTGTTGCCCCAGGCAGAATGTCCTGGCACTTGTTCCCTCGCTGTCCCTTCTCAGGTCAGAGGTGGGGTGTTGAGGAACCTGCAAGTGGCAGGAGGGTGGACGTGCCTTGCATGAAGTGCGGCTGCTCCTGCAATGCTCCTGGTCCCTTTCCTCCTCAGCTCGACTGTAGCCTCCCCACACCCCAGACCCTCCTGCTGCCACGCTGGGTCCTCTACTTCCCCATACCTCCATCTCTTGGAGCTGTGGCTGCTGTGGCCGCTGTGGCCTGTCAGTGCGTTATAGCCCTTAGACCTGTTGCACTTACTCTCTAAGAGAGGTTGGGACTAAGCTAAGGTTTGGTAATACCAAGAGAGGTGGTAACCCCCACAGGAACTCGGAGGTAAGGACAGGGTGCCGCTGGCAAAGAGATGGCTGTAGGTGCCTTGCTCTTCCAGTCCAAGCTGGCAGCGACACTGGCAGTCCTGCCCAGACCTGCCTGTGCGGCCTCTACTGACATCCGCTCCAGCCAGCCTCGTTTTGTCCCTACTGAGGCCACAGGAGCATCTGCACAAACCAGGCCAGCAACAAAGGCCTCTCCCCATCCAGTGGCTCCTGTCAGCCTTGGCTTACAGACTCTGCAAGCGCAGTCAGAGGGAGGGAGGGAGGGAGGGAGGCTGGGAGGCTGGATGCAGCGGGAGCTCCACCCCACCCCACAGGCACAGAGGTTTACAAGTTTCTAAGCTTTTGATAATGTGAAGCTCCAGATCAGAGGATGCTGTTGAGCACATTGCAGCTGTGTCATTTCCGGTGTATGTATGTAATATTTAAGGTTGGGAAAATAAATCTCAAAAGCTAACTCTTACTAGAAAAAAAGACAAAAGACAAAACAGACAAAAAAAAAAAGCCAAAGCATGATGCGTCTTGTCAGCCTTAAATGGGCTCCACGCCTGTGCTGTGCAAGGACCGCCGGGCATCAGAGCCTTGGGAAGGACAGAACCGGAAACTGGAACACTCACCGGGAACCCGTCGCTACCTTGCGGACATCATGAGTGCCTGGTGGGGCTGTGCATCCCAGGGCATCATTCATGTGGAGATGTGAATGCCTACTGCTTATAATATCTGTATAAAGTGCTGTGTGATTAAACTTTTTTTTTACTTGCATTTTTTGGGGGGCTGGCTCATTAACAAGACAAAGTGACACCATTAAACCTGCCTCTGCCGTTCATTCGGGCTCTGTTGCCTTCTGTGTGCCAGGGCCCACCCTCCCACACCATTTCCCCGAGGTAGTCTGTGGCTGTGGGCCTTCCTCTCCAGGCCTGCGGTCTGTTGGGGTTGCCAGTGAGTATCCGGATGGCAGTCAGCTCTCAACACTGGGTAGTGGACACCAGTGTGCCTGAGGATCTGGGCTCCAAGCTGGAATGGTTGCCGGTCTGGGGAGCATTCGCTGCTTTCCTGGGCTTTCCTCTCTTCCTGTCTAGATCTGTTAAGGAAGAGTTGGAAGGGCTGAGGTGCCTTGGCTGAGTCTAGAGATGTCATGAGTGTAACCCATTTTTTTTTTTTTTTTAAGGAACTGCTGCCTGTCATTTTTGTTTGAAATCTGTCAGAACCCCTTCCATGGAGAGAGATTAGCAAGTCTTCCCCTCATAAGATCCCAACAACAAAGTTCAGGTCCACCAAAGCTCCCCCTGGGGAGCCAATGAGCTTTCTGGGCTTAGTTGCAGAGCATGGACGAGGCGTTAGTTTCAGGAATATAGGGGGGTCCAAAGCAGCCACACTAGAAAGTCCATTCAGCATGGGTAATGGCTTCCCTGAAGCCACACGGATGGAATGCCCCCACTCCCGCCCATTATACGCTCTAGCGCTTACCAAGACCACTTGAAATTAGGGCAGAATTGTACAAAATGGCTGGCAGGAGGTTCCAGCTTTGACAGTGCCTAGTAAGCAGGCCCAGGTAATGGCCCACTTTCAATAGGATCTGAATCTGCTTGCCAGTCTCCGGGGCTTCTAACTCAGGAACGATCCCCTGCTGCATCTACTCAGGGTCCCTACTGTATTTGAGGTCAGAGGTGGAACACAGAGCTTCACTCAGTCTTACGTGTTGGGTGGGGCAGCTGGCCAGGCTCTGAGGGCCTCTGCAGCTGAAGGGGGTCTGATTATCAGTCCCTAAGGAGTTGGTGTGCCCAGCACCAACATGACTGTGCCTTGGGGGTATAGCTGAATAGTGTGCTTATATGGCATGCCAGAGACCCTGGGTTCAATCCCCAGTACAATTCCATAGCCCTTGGCCAGTGAAAGACCACATTCTCTTCCCAACCCCTGGGACAGGATCAACAGGTTGGAAAAGTCACTTTATTTGGATTTGATTCTCAGGGAAGGGCTCCAAGAGCAACGGGGAGTGCCTTCTATATGCAACTGCCCAGCCAGCGGGCTCCTGCCTCCTGTTTCATTCTAGCATTTAGAGGGCAGACCCTTTCCAAAACAGCCCCATCTTCCTGCTTCCTCCACTTGGTCCCCACCACCTCCATATGAGCTTGAGATACACTCCCTTACCAGGGGGTGGATGCAGGGAAGGTCCCATGTCAGTGTAGACATAGACAAAGGCACAGAGAGCCAGGGAATCCTAACGGTTCTTCTGGAGGTGGCCTCTGCTAGGGCTCCCAGCCGGATAGGGCATCTCGGCTGCCGCAAACCATCCAAAAAGAGTTTGGGTGCACTTGGCCCTGCACGGCTTCACATGCCATCAGCTCTCCATCCACAGAAAACACGCCCCTCTGGTTCTTGGGCTCCAGGCGGAAAGCAACCACGGGCACGTGCACCAAGTATGGGCATTGGTACTCCATATGCTTGCCCTTCTGCATGGCCAGGAAGAGGCGCAGCAGCATGGCCCTTGACACCCCTGCACGCACATAGAACAGATGCATAACGCCAGCCTCACAGCGGCCCATGGGTGCCGCAAACAGCTCCCTGCTCAGGTGGGTGTGTAGCAGTACCAGCACCAGAACGAAATCCTGCTCTGGCACCACAGTCCAGTGAGAAGGCACTGGCTCCTCCAGGGGAACGAGGTGTGTGTCCACGGGGCCCTTCTGCGCCAGTGCAGGAGAAGCAGGTACCGCAGAGGCGGCCTGTCCTACGGGAAGGTAGGCCAGTTGACCCTGGTAGGTTCGCAGGGTTGCTAGGCGAAAGATGGTTCCCACCGTGAAACGAATCTCCCCCAAGCGCCTGTACTTCTCACTCTCGAGGTCCACATCGGCCACGAAGCCCCAGGCCAGGCTGAGCACAGAATAGAGCTGCAGCCCAGAAGCAGTGTGGAGTGAGAGCAGATTCATGGGTGACAGGTGCCTGCGGCATAAGAGCTGTGTGCAGTTGGTCAGGAGGTCTTCATTCGTCACCTGCTCGTACCTGCAAGGTGAAAGGTCAGCTGGGACAGGCGTCCTCTTTTTACTCCTTTTGGGGAGTGAGGGCCAGCAAAGCAACAGTGGTCCCTAGGGAGTTAGTGGAGCCAGTGACAGCAGACGGAGGCTCTTTAGGACCAGTAAACTGAGTCTGAGGCTCCAGAAGAAAAAGTAGGACTTCCCACAGGACCTGGTGGCAGGAGACATGACACCCAATCAGATCCTCACCCAGCATAGTAGTTCAAGGAAGCTGCCAGTGCATTGCCAGAGCCTCCGGGGAGGCTGCACAGGGGCTTCTGGATGGCAGTCTCCCAGTCAGGCCGTTCCATAAGCCCGTTCACCACCTGTTAAAGCAGAGTGGCCTCAGCCCAGGAAACACTATCCCGAACCCTTTGGGCCATCCTCTAGCTCGGCCCTTACCTCATGCATCAGACCATCACCGGACATGACCACCAGGGCATCCCAATGACCCAGTTCCTCCGCACACACCAGCTCCCTGGCATGGTTCTGCCGTGCTGGGGGAAGATTTGATGCTCTCAAAGCTGGTTTTCTGGCAGAAAGTGCTCCCTTCACCCCCTGGGGACAGTACTCACCAGTGAGCATCAGTTCGAAGGATACCTCTGCCTCCTTCAGGAGGGGCTGCACGAGTGTCTGGAAGAGCTGCAAAGCCTTGCCCCTGCCGCTCTGGGGGTTCAGCAGCACCAGCACCCTGCAAGGCCGTGGGAGCAGTCCCCCAGGGCAACCTGCTACAAAAAAACAGACCGGACGGGCTAAAGCGGACTCGGGAATTAAGAGCACTTGCTCTTAATTGTTCCAGCACCTGGATGGTGGGTGGGGTGATTCACAATGGTCCTAAACGCCAGTTCCAGGGGATCCTATGCCCTCTTCTGGTCTTCAAGGACACCAAGCACACATGTGGTGCACATACATACATCCATGCTATCAAAACACTCACACACAAAATAAAAACAAACCTTAAAACAAAAACCGAGCTTGGCGGTGGTGGTGAACACCTTTAAACCCAGTACTCAGAATCTCTGAGTTCCAGGATGGCCAGGAACTCTGTCTCAAAAACTCTGTTCCAAAAAAACCAAAAAAGAAAAGGAAAAGAGAAAGAATGGCAATGTCCACAACCAGCCGCTAGAAGGCGGAAGAGAGCTGAAATGACATGAGTGGAGAAACCCAACATTTGGGTAACTGACCAACAGCCCTGCTAGAGGAAGCGGCCTCCCACAGGTTGTCCAGGGACACCGCAATACCTCTTTCCTTGGCTCAGGGCCAGACGACTTCTGGCCTCATGGGACAAAAAGTTTCTCTATCATTTCTTGGGGAAAGGGGTCCCTTTAGCTTTTCCCAACCAGGTACCCCACAAACCTGGTTCCATAGCCAGGTTCCGGGACTCCCGCTGACAGGCGGCCACCGGTGCCGTCCCGGCGGTGCTAGGGGTAACGGCGACTCCTGTGTTCAACTCCTTATCGGTGTTGCCCAGGAGGGTGTCTGGCGACTGACTGTGGGGCTCGCCCTCTCCGCCTCCCTGGGCTGTGAGAGCGGCCCTGTCATTCCCGGAGGCGGCCAGATCTGAGGGACAGGAGGAGACAGTGTCGGTGGGGTTCGGGGCCTGGGCTCTGAGCATGTGGGGCAGGGTGCCCAGCCAGGCTCCTGGACCTCGCACAGGGAGCTGCATGCTACGGAATCACAGAGCCCCCTGGGTCGCCCCGTGGGTCCGGGATCTAGCTTTCCAGACCGAGCTCCCACCCCACGAACGTTCCGTTCCATGGGGACTCTGGATTCCGGCCCGACGCATGAGTCAGTGACCCGTGGCTCTCTTCGTCGGGCCAGCTCTTCACCCCTTGGGTTTGGTGGAGAGTCCAGTTGCGAAAACTTCCCAGAACCAACATTGCCAGGCTCTCACTTCTGGACGAAGAACCACGTCCCAGGCAGCCCAGTCGCCGCGTCCCCCGCCTGAACTCCGAAGCCACCGGGTCTCGAGTGTCCAAAGGGGATGCGCGCCGCGCTCGTGAGAACAGTGCCCAGGTCCCGCAAGAGCCAGCCCGAGCTGGATGGACCCACAGCTGCTTTCTGCCCTGCCCGAGTGTGCTCTGAGGCCGCGGGCATGTGGCGGTCTCCCTCGCGGGCCCAGGAAAGCACCGCCAACTACGGGAGGGCGGGGTTGTGGGGGACGTCCCTACCCAGTCTGTCCCTCTAGCGGCTTGTGGCGGAAAGCAGCTCCTCTCAGGCTCAGCCTCGCGACTGAGGGACAACCGAAGCACGGGGTTGGCACCGACTCCCAGGGATCGCTCCCCTCCGGCCCCAAACTTTTCGCTCAACTTCGCCGCGGCGCGGGGAGGGCGCGGAGCCTCTGCGCCGGCCTGGCCACGCCCCGCCTTCCTTGGGCTCTCCTGGGTGGAACCAGCGCTGCGCGCCGCCCTGGTCCCCAACCCGCCCACTGCTCGGCCACGCGCAGATTGGAAGTAGGGGGCTGGATACCCGGACACGATTGTGCACCCCTGTCGAGGACAAGCTGGAGGAAATCAGCGAGGCGTGGAGTTCAGAGCACGGCTTTAAGCAGCGCGTCCAGGGAGCGCGAAAGTGAGGGCGCAGCCCAGATCCCCGCGCCCAGCATCCGAGTGTGCCTCGGGTGCGCGTGGTTCTGCGCTCTCGTTGAGGACCATGGGCTGCACCTCGAAACGGCTACTCACAGTAGGGAGGCAGCGCCTCTTCGGCGTCTCCTATCCCCAGCCTGATCAGAATTCCACACCCAGATCCTTCCTGCTGTCCTAGCTCTGGGCCAGGTCGGGTCACCCCGCCACCCGCAAGCTTCTCTTGCTCCCCTGCTCCTCCGCGATGGATTTACTTTTAGCTTCCAGATGCAGCCGCTGGACCACTCAGCCACCGAACCCGAAGCGGTTTGTCATGCCTTCCGGGAGAAAGCTGAAACCGGTTTGGGGACTTCTAGCTGGAGCACGAAGTCCGGAGGAGGAGGCCTCCTCAGCAACCTCCAAAGTTGGAGCCTTCCCCCCCAGGGAATACTGTCGAGGCCTGGGAAGCTGCCTGCAGCGGATGATCCGGATCCACGATCCTCACCAACTGGAAGAATCCAGCAGCGTGGACAGGGCACTGGGGGGGGCTCTCACCCGGATTGGAGGGGCAAGCACGGGGGCGTGGTCCCCCCGCTCCCCACCCCTCGGGCAAGCTCCGGGTGAAGATGCACACGCGCCCGGGAGAATGCCCTTCGGTGGAGATAAACAGGACGCATGGGTCGTTGTGTAAGTGATATATTTCATGGCAAATGGCCTGAGGGTGTCCATAACTAACCCGAGTTAAAATCCTGGAAGATTATTGGCGGAGACTGAGAAAATGAAGCCGCCAAGTCCGATTTGGTGACCTACCCAGGCAAGACCAAGACAGACACCAAACCCCCGAAGGAAGCTGTGATGATCCAGCCCCAGATGCGGAGGGCTCGCACGCCCACACCGGCCCCCGCGCGACCCCACACACCTCTCTCTTTGCATCGCCTTCTTACAGTCCAGAAGGGGCGAGTCCGGGAGGAGCGGGGTACCAGATAACAAGGCGTTGCAGTGAACTGGGTCACGCCTTGAAGGTGGCTTCTCTCCCAGAGGACTCCTGAGTTCCCTACCGAGTTTCTCACTATTTTAGGGGTTCCCCGAGCTGGCCAGGGAACGCAGGCTGAACCTGCGGTTCCGCACGCGTCTCCTCAATATATGCCTTGGCTCTGCACCGCCCCGGGACAGCCTGACCCGAGCCTTCCGAGAAGGTGACTCAGCGACACGCTCACGGGTGGAGAAACTCCCGGAAACAAAAAAACTAGAGGAGTTGGAGAAAGCAAGGGCGTCATCCCCCACCCCCAGTGCCGCCGCGCGTGGCTACGGAGATCTGGTCCTGCACCCACCCCCATCTCCGGCTTCCCACCTCACACCCCAGGAATCCAGCGCGGACAGGGGATGGCGGCTCTGCAGCCGCAGTGCCGCGGTCACGCGCTGCGAGGACGCGAGCCGTGGTGGGAGGAGGGGGCTCTGCGGGGGAGCCAGATCTCACTGCTGCTTGCTCCTTTTTCTGTCCTCTCCCACCCCTTTCCAGAGATCTAGGGTCCAGGTTGGCTTTGGCATCTAGCAAACTCAGTTAGGAAGCTATTCTCCCCGAGATTTCGAGCTTGTAGGGGGCTGCCTGCGCAGACTAGCGTGGGAGCACCCCTCTCCTACTCTCTCTCCCACATTTGGGAAGGAGTGTCAACCAAGCCTGAAAAGCCAGTCGTTAGCAACTGAAGAGTGGAAACTGAGGCACGGGAAAGAGAAGACCAGGCTGTGTGTAAGTTCATGCTGAAAATGCCGACCTGGAGCAGCTTTTCTTTGAAGCGTGGGGCTGGATCCTTTCAGACTGCAGGCCAGCTGGGGCGAGGTTGACTGGACACGGAGTCGGTGAGCGGAGCAGAAGCAGCCTGCAGGGCTCTTTATCCCTGGGCCTCGGGGCCCAGTTCTCTTCCTGACCGGGAAAGACCCAGTGGGAGGGGGTTCCAATCTGGCCTCAGTTCCAGTCTGCACAATGGCCCCTCTGTGCTCCCTGCCGCCTCATGCCCTGGCCTGCTCACCTCTTTGGCCTTTGCCTCTCTTGTTCTTGTTACCCTCCCCCATCCTGGGCAGGCTTTCTAGACCCTTTCCCTTTCTAAAGAACTTTATCCTAACTCCAGAAACCGTGGGATGGCGCCCCTGGCCCCGGAGCCAGGACTAGACATGGACAAGATGATGGTTTGCGTTTGTGAAGCTTCAAGGAACTGAGACCTTGAGAGGTGAAGGGTCTCCTCAGAGCTGTCAAACCAATTCCCAGCACAGCAGAGAACAAACCCGAAGCCCTTCCCCCAGTCTGGGAGGCCTTGTCCCACCAGAGCTATTCTGGGTGTCTGTTAGCCTAGTGGGTTGTGTTCACCTCAACTGCCTCTCTAGGTACCCAGGGACCTGAGGGTCTCCAGGAAAAAGAAGCTGCAGCTTGCCCCAAGCACTCCCCACGTGCATGCACAAGAACACACACACACACACACACACACACACACACACACACACACACTCATTAACCAGACTGTGTCCAGCAAGGCCCACCTGGCCTTGGCCTCAGGCCAGTCAGGAGTTCTGACTTGATCATCAACCCAGCCTGTTTCCAGCCATACCTGTCTCACAGGAATTGTTTTTCTTCCTAGGCTCCATGCCTAGCTTTCCCAGAGAAAAACACCTAAGAGCTCCCACCACCACCACCACCACCACCACCTCCTCCTCCACCTCCACCTCCCCACCTCATGCCAGAGAGGTGATGACTGGTCCTTAGACCTAGCCTCTGCACCCCAGGAACTCAAGGAAGGCTACCAGGTGGCCAAACATTTAAATGTTTTTTGTTGTTTTTGTTGTTTACACGTTTGTGTGTGTGTGTGTGTGTGTGTGTGTGTGTGTGTGTGTGTGCACAGTGTGAGTGTAGAGGTCAAAGAACTACCTTCTACAGTCTGTTCTCTCCTTGCACCAGAAGAATCCCAGGGCTTGAACTCAGGGAGTCAGGCGTGGTGGCAGGCATCTCTACCTGCACAGCCATCAGTCTCTCTCGTTGTTTTCCTTAGGTGAGGATGCCTGGCGCCCCGCCCACCATGCCTGAAGCTACCTTCCCTGGGTGATTTTTATTTTACTTTATATTTTTAAGGGGTTTGATCCTTTGAAACGGGGCTTGTGTGTCCTAGGCTGTCCCTGAACTTGCTACATAAATGAGGGTGGCTTTGCTGTCCTGACTTCCTGTCTTCCCCTTCCTAGTGTTAGTCACAGTTCATGTTCCCACATCAAGCTCATGCGATACTAGAAATCAGAGCTGGGGCTTTGTGCACGAGAAGCCGCTTGCCCTGGCTCTGAGAGTTGCTTTGTTTTGTAATGTTAAGAACCATTTTTAGATGCATTTAGTGTATTTTATGTGTATGGGTGTTTTGCCTGCATGTATGTGTGTGCACCACGTGTGTGCCTGGTGTCTGTGGAGGACAGAAGAGGGCACTGGATCTCCTGGAACTGGAGTTATATATGGTAGTGAGCCTCCATATGGATACTGGGACCTGACCCTGGGTCCAGCCTCAAACTCCAAGCAGTCCTCCTGTCTCAGCCTCCTGAGTGCTGGGATCACAGGTGTATATCACTATGCTCAGCTTTCCTGGTAAGTTCAACCCCTCAGTGCAGGCCTCCTGAACCTCAAATTCTTTCTGTTTTTATAGTATGTCCCTGCCTGGGAGGCTGCAAGAGAAAGGAGATGTTCAGCTCTGCAAAACGTTAAGACTTTGTTTCCAGACTGTCCGGCATTTAGCTTTCCACTCTGAGAGTTCCTAGCTGCTCTCCGTGATGGCCAGTGCTGGCACTGGCTTGGTGGTGCTGCAGGCCACATGGGGAGATGTGGAGGCACAGAGAGGCTGTACAGGATCCCTGGCTGTGTGCTGGAGTATAGACTTTGGGTTTCCTCTTCTGTGCGATGTTTTCACTGGTAGAGCTGTGTGAGCGCGACTCGCTGGTGGTGTGAATAAGAATGGCCCCATTCAGTGGTGGCGCACGCCTTTAATCCCAGCACTCGGGAGGCAGAGGCAGGCAGATCTCTGTTAGTTTGAGGCCAGCCTGGGCTACAGAGGGAGTTCCAGGAAAGGCTCCAAAGCTACACAGAGAGAAACCCTGTCTTGAAAAACTAAAAAAAAAAAAAAAAAAGGCTCCCATAGGCTCATATATCTGAGTGCTTAGGAAGTGGCATTAGGAGGTTTAGGAGGTGTGGCCTTGTTGGAGAAAGTGTGTCACTGTGTGTGGTGGCATTGTGTTCCCCAAAATATTGTGTACCTTAATAAACTTATCTGGGGTCAGAGAACAGAAAAGCCACTAGAGGCAGTGGTAGCACACGCCTTTAGTTCTAGCATTCCAGAGGCAGAAATCCTTCTGGATCTCTGTGAGTTCAAGGCCACATTGGAAACAGCCAGGCATGGTGACTCGCCTTTAATCCCAGGAAGCGAGCCTTTAATCCTAGGGAGTGATGGTAGAAAGCAGAAAGGTATATAAGGCGTGAGGATCAGAAAATTAAGCATTTGGCTGGTTAAGCATGTGGCTGGTTAAGCATGTGGCTGGTTAAGCATGTGGCTGGTTAAGCTTTCAGGCTTTGAAGCAGCACAGTTCAGCTGGGATTCATTCTGGATGAGGACTCAGAGGCTTCCAGTCTGAGGAAACAGGACCAGCTGAGAACTGGTGAGGTGAGGTGGCTGTGGCTTGTTCTGTCTCTCTGACCTTCCAGTGTTCACCCCAATAACTGGCCTCGGGTTTGATTTTATTAATAAGAACTTTTAAGATTCCCGCTACAACTGTGGGTGGGCTTTGGGCTTTCAAAAGCCCAATGCAGTCCCAGTGTTCTTTCTTCTTGCTGCCTGAGAATCCAGATGTAGAACTCTCAGCTCCTCCTCCAGCACCGTGCCTGCCTGTGTGCCGCCATGCTTCCTGCCATGACGACAGTGGACTAAACCTCTGAAACATTAGGCAAGCCCCAGTCAAATGCTTCCCTTTATAAGAATGGCCACTGCCGTGATGTCTCTTCACAGTCATAGAACACTAAGGGGCTCGTGGGACGGCTCAGCGGTTAAGAGCACTGGCTGCTCTTCCAGAGATTCTGAGTTCAATTCCCAGCACCCACATGGTGGCTCGCAACCATCTGTAATGGGAGTCGATGCCCTCTTCTGGCATGCAGGTATATATGCAGACAGAATGCTCATACATTTAAAAAAAAGACTGACTAAGACAACCTCTTAGGTACTCTCCTTGTCCTCCTGGGCCACCTTGCTGTGGCTGGGGTACAGGCCCCACTGAGCCTCTGGACTCTGTCTCCCATACGCCCCTACCTCTAGGCTTTGTTGACCCTGGCTACAACTCAGGGTCATTAGGATTCCAGAACATTCTGAAATCTGACACCCACAGGGTGCCACTTTGCTGCTTCCAGCCACCTGCCTGCCATCCTGGTGGCTCAGACAACAGACATGCAGCTCACTGTGTCAACAGGCCTGGCGTCTTCTGGGTTTGGAGGACTGTAGATGGGTGGACCTGGTTTCTGGGGCCTAGCCCACAGTCTTGGGGGTTCCTTGACCTGTTTGTGATCACCCCAATCTCTTCCTTTTCACCTAGCGTTGTCTCTGTTGTCTGAGATTTGTTCATATATCCACACATACGAACAATGTTTTCGAGGTTAGAGTGCTCACCTGTACATGCATGTGTGAAGGGCAAAGGTCAGTTCGGGTCCAGTTCCACTTGTTTTGCTTTTGAGATAGTGTCTCACTGTAGCTCTGGCTGGCCTGGAACTTGCTGTGTAGACCAGGCTGGCCTTGAACTCGGAGAAGCACCCACCACCAGTGCTGGAGTTAAAGACACACACTGCCACCATATCCAGCCCTACTCATTTTTGAGACAGCATATCTCTTTGAGATTAGAGCAAGTTTCAGCTAAACTGGTCAGCCATCATGCCTCTAGGATCTGCCTTTCAATCCCCACCCCAACTCACGTGCTGGGGGTTCATGTGCCCGTATACCCAAGTTTTACGTGGATGCAGGAAATCTGAACTCAGGACTTCATGCTTCATAGCAAGCCCTCAACCCACTGAGCCC